GGGGATCCTTGTTCCTGAAAAATAAAAACAAATCACACAAAGAAACTTTTAAAAAAAACTTATTAGTCAACTTTGACATTTCTAACTCACCTACTTGATCCTCCCCGTTTGTCTACAGTCTTTAACAAAGTGCAAACCATCTTTTGCCCCACAGGATGTGTTTTTTGACAGCTGTCGTTGACAAGCCGTGCCTGATCGAACATGAACATTGTGCTGGCAACTGTAATGAGCCTACAGTAAAAAAATATGAATGTTTAAATGTGTACAGAAGTGTGCAGAAATGTTAGATATTTTATTTTACATTTAGAAATATCAAACATTTACAACAATTATGCTGCAGTATTCTAAATTATCTGTCAGCAAAACATATAGGAAATCTGAATTGCATGTATGTATTACTCCTGTAATCCTGCAAATGGAATGAGCACCTAGATTATCAGATGACAATACACTTCCTTTCACACAATCTCCTAACTGTTCAATGTATACACCATGAGTTTCAAGAGTTTCAAAGTCTTGAACAAATGGGTGCAAGACAACCATGCTATTTTACTGTGCTAGCAGTGCTGGGTTATTGTGGGTGCAGTGGGGGGTTATTTTCATTGCAGTGGTGGGTCTTGGAACAGAAACAAAGACGAACAGGACGATGACCAGATGAGGAATCAGGAAGGCTACCTGGTCTGACTGTGACAGCTGTGAACTTAAAAAGGTGTATTCAGTAGTTCACTGTAGAACTTCTTAGTCAACTAAAGAGCTTCAAGTCAATTTAATTCATGGCCAAGCTTTACTGGTTTTAGATAAACTGAGAATAACTTTTTCTGCTTAAAATAAAGGTGGCTGTTACTCCATCATTCTAAATAATCTTTCTATTTCTAATTATATCATCAAGGATTTACAATGAATTAAAGTCAGTTTAAATGAACAATTCAGTAACTAAGTTGTTTTTACTGTAATTTATTTAACTTACTTTCTGTAATAAAGCTGTTTGGTAAATCTCTTACATTGAATTTTAAATATCCATCTGTGTTTTGTGAAAATGATAAAAATGAAAGTTCAAAATAATAATTTTCTAAATAGTTTGCAATACTTTAAACATTATTAATACATGTACAATGTTAAAAAATCCTGCAATGTTAAACAAATTATTACTTTGAACTTTCTTTTTAATAATTGTAAGAATAATTGTTAGTGATTTTGTACCAATAACATCAGATCATAGAAAAACAGCAGATCTCCATGCTGAAAATGCAGCTTTGAATCACAAGAATAAATGACATTTAAAACGACAATTATAAAGAAAATAGTTTGTACTGGCCTCACTAACACTGGCTGCCTGACTGTTCAGTCAGCAACATAACCACAGATGCAGTTTGAAGATCTGTCTTTTTTGTCTTGATTTTGTCTTGAAAATGAAATAAATCTCTTTGACTCTCTCATATAAATCTTGTGCAGTGTGTTTTATCACATAATAATGTTCTACTGATGAAATCAGCCATCATGAATGAGCAGTTATACAAAACAAAACTATTCCTTAACAGAAAAAATCGTTACATTTATCAAATCAGTTTACACAAAATGGTGCTTACAGGGTATTACCCTTGATGGAAATATCTAAACTATTAGCACAACCCTTTAATGCTGTTTATTTCCAAATGAAAGTGAAATTGAAAGCAACACTTTCCGCTATCGATATCAACCAGCAAATGGCGCTCGGACACCACAGAAACTCAAGTCAATTTGTTATGTGCCACACATATTACCACTTGCCTTGATTCAGTCATACCTCAATTATTCTCCAATGCATTTATGATATTCTAAGACTACGACACGACACAGTTATTTAAAATGGTAAATTAACTTAAAATAATTCTGTGGCGTTATTCTAAAAAATGCTAAATTCAGTAAATGACTAAAAGCCTCTTAACTTATTTGCATAACCATGTAAACCTAACTAACACATACACACATTCTCTGTTCTAATCTATTGGTTTATACACACACACACACACACACACACACAATAGATTAGAAATTAAAATGTGTGTGTGTATGTGTTAGGGTTTGGTTTACATAGTTATGCGCACACACACACACACACATTTGTGTAATGTTTCAATACAATGGAATAGACAAAGGACAGTAATCATTTTCAATGTATACCGCAGTTTGGAAAAGTCAAGGTTTTAAAACTGCCAAAGGTTTCTGCTGTATCGTTCATACGGTGTATGTAAAGTTTTTTTTTTTTTTTTTTTTAATAACGTTTTTTTTTTTTTTTTTTTAGGACAACAGTATCTCCAGCACAAAAGATATACAAAGATTCCATTTTAAAATGTAAAGAAGTTTTTGAAGCTATTAAAGACAGCAGAAGTCAATAATTCATTTTCATTCTTTACTATTACCATCCGCACTATTCCAAAAAACTTAAATGTTTCTCAAAATAAAATATATTGTACTCAAAAGGGAAAAGGTTTTGTTTTTTATACATTTAAAAAGAATATATTTTAGAGCAGTAATCACAATATTGAGATACTAATTTTTTTATCCAAGGTCATCATACCAGAATCTTATACCGGTCTATGTGTACAATGGAAAACACAGGAGTAATTGTATTAGCCTCGACCAACAGGTCAACAACACAAAACAGTTTTGTTTTTTTGTTTTTTATATAATTCTGGCAGTAATTCGGGAAAGCTTGCATTTGACTATTACCACAAATGCACCAACATTATGATTTAGAACCATAACTTTCTAACGAGACCATTCATTTATCCACAGCAAAACATGAGCAAATCAGAAACGTTAACACTCACTCCAGCCATTAAGAGTTCAGATCAGTATTCATGTAAGAACAACAAGTTGCTAACGAGACTATTCATACCTCCATCACCCAGCAACATTAGCAAATTAGTAACATTAACACCCACACCGGCCTACAATTGAGAGTTTAGATCAGTATTCATGTGAGAAAAAATATGTTTCAATAAAATGTGTATGTACAGTAAATATGTATATTATTAACAATATATTTTGTTCCTACATATATGTAACAATATAGGAATAATATATATTAAAAATACATTTAACATCCAAACTGGCAGCTTACATACAAAGTAATTAAATTAATTTTAAAAGATTTAAATTGAAGTGGCGAATAACTCAGGAAAGAGTTGTTTCCTATTCTTCCAGGTCCACTCGAGAGGTCTCCATGACCTCTGACCTGGCTGGGTAGATCCTGAGGAAACAAATGATTCGGCATACAGAAAAACAATCAGACACGTATAACTCCAGATTTACTCTAAAGAGGGAGGACATCATAGTCATCATATAATCAAGGCTCTTAAACATTCAACTTTATTAATAATCATAAAGACATAAGAAAGGATATGTGTGACTCGATCCTAGAGCAGACATCCATCAGAAAATACAATTATATTCTATTTTATTCATTGTATCTATCACCAAACCAAGTATAAATCTACACTAAAATGTGTTACAAGTCTTTCTCTCTTTATTTTTATTTGGTGAAATTCAAGAGCCTAACACAAACTCTTATAATTGTATACTTCATCAGAAATCACTATTAACTGTAAGACTGTTCATATCTTCTACATGCTCTCTCAGGAGGCTTTAACAACACAATCTTACAAAGCAAATGGTTAATCAGTTTTACTGTTCAATTTTTTTTTTACTTAATTGTTGTCTTATTTAAAATCACACACACACACACACACACACACACAAAACACAATTATCCATTATTACTGAAAATAAAATATATAATTATTTTAGGTTTTATCTTTGAATGGAAACTAAACAGCTGACTTTCATTTAACTTGATTTATTTTATCCTTGTACTGTATTTTATGTTTTGTTTTTTTGTTTTTTTTTCTGTTTTATATGTATATTTTCACATGAATTGTGTATATTTAAATAGATTTTCCTTGCATGTGTACTGTTTCGTACTTTAGGACAATATATTTTCCTGCATCTGTGGTGAAATATAAAAGTACTCATAGTCAGAAGAAAGACTCTATATTTTTAAATACACCGAAACATTTGCCTAGATCAGTTGTAGTAACTGTTTTAAAGTTGTTTCTGCTCCTTTTGGGCCATTAACACCTGGGGATGGGCAGATTGGGCTGCTGTTGGATGCTGTCTCCTGATAGGCTGTTGATCTGCTGCCAGCTCAGGTTAAAGAGGCCCATCTCATCTCAGTAAAGTTACAGTTACATCATTTTCAGCTACAGCTTGCTGCGTTTACCAGTGGACAGAACTCACATTTCAACATCAGAAATGGCGTCTAAACAGTAAGTACATTTAGTCAGTACGCCTTATGCAGCAGGCTTCTTAAACTCAGTTTAGCTTGTATCATTTTATCAGTGGAGTTAGTTTGTGGAAGTCAAATCTTTAAAAATCTAAAGAGTCTTTTAGAACTTAGTTCTTCTAGATAATTAAAAAAACTTTTAAATTTAGAAGATCAGAAAACCTCTGAAGAGGACAGATATTTGTGAGAGGAGAGCAGTTTGTACACTAGTTGTGTTGTTATTTTATATTTGACTTGTAAATCCTAACTGCTGGTATAATCTTGTTTAAGAAATAATTGAGACAATTTTATTCTTCTCTCATAATAAATGTCATATTATTAAATACGTTTTAAATAATATGGTTAGTAACAGTATTATATTAATATGAAATTAAGCTTTGTCTTAAAACTCTAATCAAAATATCCAGCAGACATTGCTGTGTGTGTTTGTGTGCTCATTTCTTTGTTTCTGTACCTGGAGTTGGGGGTGGGGTGTGGTGGACCCCAAACCTTACCAAAGCTGCTCTTGGTCTCTTCATTTTATAACATTTTGATTTTATTATCCACACAGATCCTTCCACAGCAGGATGTTTTTCCTCTGTCCTGTGTGCAAAAAGGCTCCTCACTCTCTTCCTGGGCATCTCAGGAAGGTGTGTATGAGGAACAGCACAGAGGCAGAGAGAGTCGTTAAAGAGGCCAAGAAGGAGTTGTCCGAATTCTGTCACAAAGGACGTTTCTGGGAGTTTGGAAAAATTTGTGACATATTGGACTCTACTAATCCTCTGGCCAGGTTTGTATTCAGTTGTGCTTATCTTATTTGATGTATCGGACTTCAAATCTAACATCTGCATATAATAATAAACATACATTTTTGGTATTGTTTATTTGACCTTATTTTATGTTCCTTGTTTTAGGATGATTGCGGAGATGCAGTCAAAGGGGTTGGTGATTAATAACTTACCTTCAGTCCTCCCGGAACCAGCTCGGTCGACAACATCTTCTGTGCCTCTGGAGAAGGTGCAGAAAGTTCATTGGAGCCTCCAAATGAGTCCTTATCCGACGAGAGCTCGGGAGAGTACTATCAGAGGTATACTTTTATATCAGCATTCCCAGAAAGTAAATATACACTGCGGATATGACTTCTCTTTAATATACAAAGTCATTTTGATCACCTGCTTTTCTATTTCAGCACTGGTGGACCGATGTGGACCTCTTCCGTGAGGGTGAAGATGGTCAAAAAAGGCTTATACAACAAGCACTCCATTGACCACCCCCTTCTAGCAGGATTTAACAAGTACCTTTACACTGATCTAGGATATAAAAACAGCAAACAAGTAGTAAGTTCAAGTGAAATTATACATGTAAAAATGAGTGAGTGGGTGTTGTTTTATGCAGTACAGTTTATTTTATTGTTAAATGTGTGCTTTCAGGTGGAAACAGTGTCCAGGTTCTTGCATTACATGGACCCCACTGAGCCAAACTTGATGTTTGTTCGGCGGGTGGAGAAAGTGCGAGAGTACTTTAACATCTTGTCAGATACAAAGTTCTCAAAATGGACAGTGTTCAACTACTCGAAGAGTCTCAAGAGGTCAGTAATGTGGAACCACCACAAGTGTGCCATGTACATGTTAACTAATCATGTCAGCTGTGCTGTGTTCTGACTGTAACAAACCCAATGTTGATCTCTTTTCAAGGTTCATGAAATACATTATTACCTCCACGGACATTCGCCACAACAATCCAGCTTTGTTCCAGGACTGTGAGAGTTTTATGGATGTGCTGTATGGAATACAGAGTGGCATGTCCAAAGAAGTGAGCATGGAGGTCACAGCAAAAAAATCAGAGTTTGGTTGTGGCAAAGAAGTTTTGCCAAAGGACTGCCTTGCTGTTTTGGAGGCTGCATTCAAAGATTTCCAGGCCGTGATATGCAAAATGCAGGGTCCAGGAGCCATCACAGGGGACTGTTTGACTAAAAATGAACAGCTGCTCGTCCTGTACTACCTGGAGGCTGTTATCATGCTGAAGCTAGTCCAGCGGCCTGGAATTGTGACACACATGACTGTAAGTGTTTGTTTTTCCGTACATTGTCTTCTTTGTTCTTATATGCTTCATCAATGTGCAAAACTGTCTGTTTGCAGGTTGAGGATTGGGAGGGGAGAAGCCGGATAGAGAATGGTGTCTGTGTTGCAGTGAAGGAGCACAAAGTACCATTGTCACACGAACAGGAACTTGTACGTTTATATTGTCTTTTATATCATAACAGCAATAAATGTATTGTGTCAAATTTAGACTTATTTTTTCCTTTCTTTGACTAGTGGTTCAACTTGTACTTCAATGAGGTGCGGCCAGTAATGCTGCAAGAAAACCACACCGACGATGATGTGGCAGTTGATTCATTTTTTGTGTCAAGTAGTGGGAGATCGATTTATAATCCCTCCAACGACTTAAAAAGACTACATGACAAGTAAGCAACATTACACCTGTCTTTAACTCTACATGTTCATCCGTCCACTTTTTGCCTTCTTACGATGCCTTGTGTTTCAGATACAGTCTTCCCAGTGTGACGTGTGGCGATGCCCAGAGAGCATTTGAGGCAGCAGCACAAAGCCTGTCAGAAGTGGAGAGAAATGTGGCAGCTGAAAGAAACTACATGAGGGGAACATCTTCAGATCCGTTTCTGGCTCTAAGTGTGCTAGATCAGCTCGCTGGGAAAACACCGTAAGCATCTAACAACTGAGATGATCCTTATTTTTAAATTTGCAACCCACGGCCTTGCCTTTCCTTCCTTCAATATTTATTTTTTATGATCTTATAGACAAAGGTCCAGTAAAGCTTCCTGCTGTGAGACAAGGGTGGACGAACAGACGGCCTACAAAACTCTTGAGCAGTTCTGTCCAGTGACTCTGGAGGGGCCTCCTCCAAAAAGGGCACGCAGGACTGAGCTGTGTGGCTCAGAACATGAGAGGCACTGCTATGACCGCTGGCGTAGTGAGCAGCTCAAGCTGCGTGAACAGCATGCTCTCGGTGAGTATACAGATGATTAATGACACAAACAGGGGAATTGAGTGAGAATAGCCAAATACTGATGTGTTTTGTGTTTCTAGAACACTTTGCTGGACAGCAGCCATCAGAGTCCAAAATAAACCGCTGGATGGACAAACAAGGGTGGACATCAAACGTCCCACAGGCTGCAGTGGTTCTGAAGCAGTGGAAACCTGTTGCCAGGTTGGACTTGGACATCGACAGCAGCTTTGTGAAAAAAATTATTTTGTCTCAACGCTGGAAAGGACTGACTGTCAGGCCCGTCCCTGACAAGGGCGATGGTGTTTTCACCAAAAGACCCTTTCAGATCGGGGAGGTTGTCTGTGAATACCACGGCGAGCTGGTTAGCCATGAAGATGCACAGCAAATTCATTGGTGTTAAATTTCAAGTGTTGTGGTAATTCAGAGTAAAGTGTTAAAATTGTAGAGTTAGATAAAGGTAAAATAACCCTCTCGGCGTTAGAAGCTGATTTGCCACCTTGTCACACAGAGTAACATGTATTTACCTTTGTAGAAAACCCTTGTATTTGAGAAACTAATCAGAGTGTCTGAAATCTCGCCATACCCTCATTCACTTGGCCCTTAAACTAGTCAATTAGTTTAGTCCACTAGACAGAGCGAATGACCACAAATATGTGAATTCAGACACCTGCTGTTGAACACCTGCTGTTAACAAGCACAATCACTGAAGGAAGAAGAAATTGAAGGAAGAAATAAAACTACAGACACAGCCTCACACCAAACCAACTGAATTAAAACAGGATTAAACAACTCAATTAAATAATAGCATAAGCAGCTTCACTGATTACAGTTTGACTTCATTTCTGTAAGAATATTTGACAATGAACAGAGGTTTATATTTTTTTATTAAAAATATTTCATTTGACCTCACCATCATGGAGATCAGAGGCTGCTTATTTGAGCTCTTGAAGCTTTACTCTTAGATCCTAATGTTTCTCTGACTGTTATAGCAGTGTTTCTAAAACTCATCAGTTATAGCAAGAAAGGTCAAGAGAAACTATACTGTTTATGCTTAATTGTTATAGATTTAATTTCAGGTGTTTATTAAGTTGATTCATAAAGATATGCAAATATAGTTGTATTAAAGCTGCATGGGACAATACTACTGGTAGTCTGCTGCTCTTCATAGAAAATTTAACAAACAATTAGGATGCACTTAATAATTAGTGTGTCATGCACTAAACATTCAAGCTCCAGCTTGCGCTTTATGACACACAGGCATCAAGAATCAGCATATGAACCTCAACTGTGGTTGCTAAAAAAAAAGCTGCATAGTTCATGCCGCAATGCATGCTGGGTGCCAGCATAGTACAAAGCTCCCAGCATGCATTGCAGCATGAATAAATTATGCAGCTTTATGTTCGTACAATCTCTTTATTTTCCTGTATTTTGTGTTGTTTTTGGGAGGTGATATTTCAGTAGTGTTTTTTTTTTTTACTTGATTTTTATTTTATTGAAGCTTCAGTTGTTTCATTTAAGTATATTATTTATTTCTCACACATAACTAATATCATATTGAATTAGAAAACAAGCAGGAAAAGATGGCTATGAAATCATATATAATCTCTTCAGACTGACACTTTAATTTTCCTTCAGCTTTCTATGCTATATGTTCAAAAGTGTAATTAACACTATCTATAGCAGCCAAAATAAAAGACATTTATAGTAAGAAGTTGAAGAGCCCGACTAAAGCAGACTCTGTCCTCCATCATGGTGACTTCAAATGAACAACGGACATTTTATTAAGAGCTTTTGTTCACGTGACAGAAATAAAGTCAAAGGTCAGTAATAGGTGAAGCTCCATGATAAGTTGTTTAATTTGATGAGTTTTTTTTAAAGATGTTGAAAAATAAAAAATTTTATTGTGTAATTTGTTTTATTTTTATTGATTATTGTTTTATTTAGAGTTTTTTTTTTTCTCAGTTGATTTCAGCTTTGGTTTTGGCTTGTGTTTTTCTGTCCTTCAGTGATTCTGCTGTTAACAGTTGTTCATCAACAATTCTCAATCCTCCTTTAATTAAACACTTAATTGTCTCATTAACTTCATCACTGTCTGAGTGTTCAGCCCTCTGTAGTGAGGACACTAGTGAGGATTTTGCTCTGGAATTTAAGGCTTACGTGTGTTCGAATGAAAAATACAGACTATGGGATTTGTTTTTAACAGAAATATTCTGGAAACTGAATTTACGAATGTAAAATGTTGAAAACAGCAGATTACTGGCAACCACTGCTGCCAGTATTTTGACATACATTTAACAGATATTTTACACAATAAGAGTTTGCTAATTAACACTCTGGGTGTTAAAAATTTTAACACTTTCAAAAGTGTTATTTTAACACTTATAGTGGTTCCCATATAAACACTGAGGGAGTGTTAATTTTAACTCTAAGGTTGTTAAATCTACCAAATCTAAAATTTGCAGTGTGAGATCGATAAAAAATACAGACTGTTAAATGTGCTTTTAACAGAAATATTCTGTAAACTGAATTTATGAATGTTAAAAACAGCAGATTACTGGCAACCACAGCTGCTGGTATTTTTCCGTAAAATCTAAAAATGAAAAAAAAGAAAGAAAAACAGCAAAACAGTTTTTGTGTCACCATTGTGGAGGATAATAGCGTCTCTGTTCAAGACCAAGATGAACTGAGAAAATTTGATGTTATGCAGCAACTTCTTTTCTTTAAAGGTAACTGTGTAGTTACTAATGCAGTCAAAATCTGTTTACTAATTGCAATCACACATGAAAACATTATTGCATCTAAAGACTTTATATTTTTGTGCACTAAGCTACGATTTTGTAAAATAAACAATGTGTTAGTTCATGAAATATGGTTAATTTTGTAAATTTATACAGTTATATAAAACTTCCATGTTTTTCACAGAAAGATTCTGGCAACCACAGCTGCTGGTATTTTTTCGGAAATTTAACAGATATTTTACACAATAAGAATTTGTTAATTAACACTCTCTTGGTGTTGACAATGTTAACACTTTCAAAAGTGTTATTTTTAACACTTATAGTGGTTCCCATATAAACTCTGAGGGAGTGTTAATTTTAACTCCAAGGTAGTTAAATCTACTATCTAAAATTTGCAGTGTGGGATGGCAATAGCTTCGACAAGCGCCATCAGAGCTGGCCATTTGTTTTTTTTATAAGAACAAGCAACATGAAGCCATGTGCATTGATGCACATGAAGAAAGTTGCCAGTGCCATCCCATGAAGTTCAATTATGGACGCCTGATCCGTCACTCCAGCAAAAGAGCCAATATCCGGCCCAGGCTGTATGTCCTTAATGATAGAGACATCATTCTCTTCATTGCTACAAAAGACATTTCGAGTGATGAGGAGTTATTCTATGATTATGGCTCAAAGAGGAGATCTTTTGCCGGGAAAGGGTTGGAATTGGACTGGATGTAAAACAACATCTTTCCATCCCCCATACTCACTCACTTCTAACATGTCCATCTCCAAGTTTCCACCCTTGGCCATATTCTCTTCTCTCTCTCTGGACAACCATCACTGCTCTTCTCACCCTGGAGTACTCTTTCTGCGCTGCCAAGCAACTACATTGCTCTCCAAATAGAGACTTGGTTGTAATAGGCTGAATGAGAGGGCCTTACAAACCATTCACCTTTACTTCCAGAGAATTGTATTTTCTCTTGTCTTTTGCTCTTTTTTTCTCATAAGTTTTCTTTATGCAATAGTGAGAGTGTGAGTAGGCTACTCCATATTCTCTCCTCTCTCTCTGGATTCTGTACAACACATGTGGAATTACAGCCTGATAAGTATGCTCAAACTGCTCTTAACCCTCCCTTCCATCCATCTTTAAGTTTCAAACAAAATATTGTGCACTTTCTGGTTGTCGTCTTCTTTTTGTTTCAGATTACCAAGGCTTTTAAGGTCAGCAGACATGCACCTCACTGCTGAGAATTAACCTGGCATCTTAATTCTTCATTACCTATGTTTCTCTATGTTGTTTGATTAATGTTCAGATTTTGTTCATTTGGTTGCATTGTGTGTACTGGAAGTTGTTTATTTTCTTTAGTGTTGTTATTACTTGATATTACTATTACATATACAGCCTTCTAATGTGCTGTTATTTCACATTCTTATTAAAAAGTTGCAGAAATGACCCAGAGTCACAAAGTTCTGTTTCAGTGGATTCATATTATGCTTTTTAAACAAATTTTTATTAAATAAAAGTAATAAAATAACTAAGACACAGTGTTTGGCATATATTTAACAAATCATTCAAATAATTTCATTTAAAAATGTGCAATACTTTAAAAGAAAAAAGAAATACACTTCATTATTTAAAACATATGAAGCTTTTTCAGATAAGTGCAACACTTTTTCCCCTTCACCTGAAAATGACATGATAGCTAAAAAAAAAATAAGAAAAAAAAGGAAAATGACCGGGAAAAGTCATTTTCCTTTTTCCATGTGATCAGCCGAGACAAAAAAAAAAAAGGAATCCACAAATATCCACAATATCCTGGAAAAAACACTGAAATAATGGTCTCTGTATGAGAGCTGCTCTTTGAAGAGAATAAGGCAGCAAGCCTAATTAAAAAAGATAATTACAGTCAAATACAATAAGAATATATTTTAGCAAAGGGAAAAAAGTCAATCTATTTTGGACGGATTTCATTGTAAAATGTAAGACATTATTTATAAAGACAGACAGGCTAATATAATTATTTTTGGAGTGTTTGAACATGAATGGCAGCTGTTGTTTTTGATCTAACAGCAGCAAAACTACATGCTGAACGCTGTGAGCTTGTGTCAGGATAATGATGATACATGAGCCAACTTTTATTTTTTCCTTTTCAAAACAGTTTAGAATAAAACAAACAGAGCAATAAAAAATGGGTTACGTGTCAAAGATCAACAGGCTCCAAACATGTAAACAATAAAAGCACGACAATGAAATTAAAACAGGACTTTTCTTCTCAACCATTTACCCCAGTATGCAGAAATTGTATAGGCTTGTTGTCTCAGAGTAAATGTCAGTACTTCTATGCCATACACCTCTTTAACAATATCATACCATTCACCTACAGATGGAGGATCTTCCTTGAGCTATTTCTTTATAATGGCCTTTTTGCTAGTTGTGAGTAGTGTGTTAAGAAGATACACATCATTTTTGGCATTTCTGCAGAGTAAATTCTCAGGTACATAGTTTAAAAATTACATTAATCCCATAATTAGATTTATCTCTATTTAAATCTTGTGTATAATATTACAGTTCCAAAATATTTTGAAATGATCTGCCAATCATTTTCACATTTTCTCCATCATTCACCATATTTTGATCTCTAGTTTAAAAGTATTTTATTTTAGATGTCATAAAGAACCTGATTACATTTTCCTAATAAATACCCTCTATGAATTAATTGTGATCATCTGTGTTTCCCAAATAGTTAACCATTCCTCATTTGCTATTATTATATTGGCTTCTCCTTCCCATTTCTGTCTGATACACATTGTTGAGTGTTTCTATGTTAATGTCAGACAGGAATAAATTCTTGATACTAGTTTTTTTATTAATCTTTATTTTTTGTAAGCATTTATAAATACCTGCACTCCTGTTGTTTTTATGTCTTCTGAATCTCTTATGCTTTTATTGAAGTAGTGTCTAACTTGAAGGTAATGGAAAAAGTCTTGTTTATCCAAGTTACATATATATATATATATATATATATATATATATATATATATATATATATATATATATATATATATATATATATATATATATATATTTGAAAGTTGTTGAAAACCTTCCAATTCAGAAAAGGTAGGCTTGGTGATATATTCATCCTTATTATCTATTCAATTGTATAGATCTAAAGGTTGAAGGAGCCGTCTGTTCGAAAACTTTTTTATGGTTTCTGTAATAGGGAAGTATTTTATTTTATAGATATCTGATAGGTATGCAGGGATTTGAACTCCAACATATCTTATATGTTGTTATATCAGATGTAAGTTATGTACATGTTATTCATGTAAGGTATGATTACAGCATTCAAAAAACATTGACATGAATTGTTCTTTGAATATTTTATACCATTCTGCAGAAAAGCCATCTACGCCTGGTATTTTAGATGTTTTAAGTTTTGATATAGCGTTGCTTATTTCTTCTATAGTTTTTTTTTTTTTTTTTGAGTTATGGGTTTTATTTTGTATCGATCCAATTAATGGTAAATCTAATGTGTGTAAAAATGCTTGCATGTTTGCAAGTTCAATATTGTCTTTTGAGGTATATAATTCCTTATAGTATTTTTGAATAGCCTGTTGCATTTTCCCCAATTTATGACATATCGTTTTAGTTTTGTAATCTTTGATTTTAAATATCATCCTCTCTGCCTGTCGTTTCTCTATTCTTCATGCCAGGAGCTTTTTTGGACCATTTTCATAAAATTTTAAAATGTAAGTTTTATTTGTACTTGCTCATCAAACATTTTATTGAGCTCTGCTTTAACTTATTTAACCCTAACTCTATTATTAAAATATCTGGATCTTTCTTATTACCATATTTAGTCACTTATTCTTTAAGTTGTATATTTAGATTATTTATGTAATTCAGTTTTTTTTCCCCTTGATCCCCACATTATAAGTTTACCTCGTGTAACAGCTTTAGCTGCGTCCCATATGATACTAGGTGACACCTCTCCATTATCATTATGTTTTAAATATTCTTATAGTTCTTTTTTTAACATCTTCTACACATGTTAATTATTTAAATGATTAGGGTTAAATCGCCAAAATGTCTTTTTGGGTTTATTGTCCAGGTAAACTGTTAAATATACTCCTGCATACTCTGAGATGTCCCTTGTTCCTATTTTACAGTCTTTTATTTTTATGTTGATCTGAGCTAAAAAAAAAAAAATAATAAAATAAAAAATCAATTCCAGAATGAGACATGTGGAAGAAAAGAAAGTATATTCCTTTTTAAGAGGGTATATGTCTCTCCATACATCTATCAAGCCTAATTATTTCATCAAATATCTTATTTGTCTAGTTTCTTGACTAATTTGCTTATTAGAAGATGAGTCCAATTTAGGCTGAAGTTGTTCATTCCAGTCTCTCCCCACAGATCAACATTCCTGATGCCTTCTTGGCTATAACACTTAATATTTTTTTGAGAAATGCTTTGTCTTTTTCAGGTGGTCTATATATACTAACTAATGTAACTTTGTTTTGGTTGATAGTTCCTTTAATTAGGTTTTATCGCCTTTCTTTATCAGTAATCTTAGAAATTAATTGGAAGTTGATTTCATTTGAGATTAATGTCATTACTCCTCGTTTACGACCATTATTATATGAGGAAAAAAAAAACCTAAATCCTATTGTTTCTAATTTCCTATGTTCTGTATCAGAAAGATGTGTCTCTTGCCAGAAGATTATCTGTTGGTTTTCTCTTTTAATTTTAGCCACAAGTTTGCTTCTTTTAATCGGATTTAGTAACCCATTAATATTCAAAGTAATTACTCTATATTTCTGTTTTTGCATATACTATAATCAGATATTGTTGCAAAGATCACTGTGATTGGAACACGAAAAACACAAACGTGAATATCTTGAACCACATAAAAAAAATTACGAAAAAGATCTCCAAACCTTGAAGTCTTAAATAACTTCTTAATGTGAGAGGAAAGCCTTCCTTTTCTAAAAAGCCCTTCCTTGCTGTGCCTATTGCACTCCATGTTAGTTAAATATGGTTTAAGTTATCATATATGATGTAAAAAGAAGGATTAATACCAGTGTGTATGGGAGCTCTCTTTCTATGCTGCTACATGTGTCAATACCATACTGGAAACCATCCCATGTGTTTCTCAAGCTGCCCCGAATGAGTGAAACTCTGTACACACTAGGGTTGGGTATCGTTTTTTTTTTTTTCGATACCGGTGCTAAATCGATACTTTTAAAACAATACCGGTGCCAAAACGGTGCCTGAATCGATACTTTTTTTAGCCACAAAATGATGGTGGACGACTCTTCAAAAAAATTTTATTTGACAAATTTTTCTTTTTTTTTAATAATTTTAATAGAACAACATAATTACAGTTTAATGTAAACATCAATTCATATTGTATTACATTAATACATTTCCTTTGATCATTTGTTGGTTAGCATGAATTTAAGATTTGCATTATGAAATTACATTAGCTTCCTTTTAACCTGTGGGGGGCGGGCAGGGGCCACGTAATTTTAGGAGCACATTTTAACAAATATATCACAAAATACTTAAAACATTATTGGAAGTCATTTGTTTTCATGCATCACTCTGCAGTCTTCATAAACAAGATAATTAAATAACTTAAACTCAAAATAATCTTCCTTGTTCATTTATTTGACAAGTAACGTTGGTGTAGGATAACACATTTCTAACATTCAAGTACATCAAGGCACACTGCTGCACCTGTAAACTTTAACAGGCCTACAGTTGAAGTCGATTCATTTTGCCCTCCCATTCATTTAAAATAATGTTTCTGAAAACTTTTACAGTGTTTCCTAAAACATAATTATTCTGGAGTCATAATAAGTCCTATTTCTTATTGTTTATTTCATGAATAAAAGCCGTTTTTAATTTAAAAAAAAATAATAATAAGGTCAGTAATATTAGCCTCCTTAAGAAATATTTACTGTATATTTTTGATTTACACAACAAATCAGTTACAAAATAATTTGACTAATTATTTTAACTTTCGTAGTGAACTGATTAAAGGGGTGGTCCAGAATGTAATTTTAAGGCTTGGTTGTGTTAATAAGATGCAAAGTAATGTGTGCTCATGTTTCACTTGAAGGAAATCATGTTATTTTTTCATATATCTCACTTTGATTATACACAGCTACTCAGCTAACATGAAAACGACTGTCATATTGCCTAGTTCCTCTAAAAGGCCCACCCTCAAGTGACTCTGATTGGTCATCATCATAATGTGCTGTAATTCGCCGATCGGCTCCACGTCACGCCCGGAGAAGCACGCGCGTTGTGTGTAAACAGTCAGTCAGTTAACACGTGTCTGTAACGAGTGAAAATGGGATGGGGCTCCTTTAAGAGTGTTTCTGTGCCATTTAGTGTGTTTATGTGTGTGCGTGTATATACTATGAAGTGTCTGTAACATGAGAAGTGCATGTGCGCGGGATATTTATTGTTCTTTTTCTCTCATGCTCGGATTAAGTTATTTTCTGTGGTGACAGAATAAAGCACAAGATGTGAGATGAGACCCGTGTGAGCCTGGATTGATTTGTTTTTGCTGTTACACTCCAGTTGGGAGAGCATTGCTGTATTTTTTTATTTTTTTTTAATCAATGCGTTACAGGACGTCTCACGCATATCTGGAATATGCATGTGTAAGTAACATGAATCGTTCACATATCTTTTGCGACTTTATTGTCTTGAGTTGAACGCATGGAAAAGCAGCCTGAAGACAATCAGTGCAGTCACGCACACACATAAGAGACACACTGCTGTCTCACACAGAGACGCGCATGCTGGCCAAGAGTGCGTGTATGTATGTGTGTGTGTTTACAGCCGTTTGACTGATAAGTATGGATTTGTAGCTAAGTCGTTAGCGATGAACATAATTTCCCGTTGTTTACATCTTTGCTACAACACACCGTTAAGGCTAGACGCTGTACATGTCATGATCAATTTTAACAAATAAAAACACTTACAGGTTATGACTCAGTTCACAGCGTGTCCTTGCTCCATCTTTGAGGAGATTTTAGCCGAATCCAGCACTGAACTGGGAGAGATTCTGGAAGCTGCGTTTTGTCAAATCATGCTTGCTGTGTATTTTATAGTTCTCTGGAACATAATTAATATTGAACTGTAAGCACTTCTGTGCTTGTGTCGTGTCATTTGGAAGCCCAACAACAAAAACATAGAAGCTCTGTGGAAACAGCGGGATGGCATTTCTCCCTCTGCGGTATAGTTACAGCACCTCTGGTCTAAATTACCCTTTAATCTGAATAAAAGACTATAAAACACTTAAAGGGACTTTGTTTGAATACTGTCTTGCAAAATAACTAGTAAAATGTTCTGCACTGACTGTCAGCATAAAAAAGTAACGTTAGATATTAGAAACGAGTTAGTTAAACTATTATGTTTAAAAATGTGTTGTAAATAATTGATGAGCTCAAGACGGAAATCAGTTGAATATGACTTACATGAGCGTGACTGAAAACTACATTTGATCAATGTGTTACATCTGTTCTACATGTGTCATTAAGTTTGACATGTTTCCTACTTTTGTAAAGACAGTTGCTGTGTAAGAATCCTTGCTTGTAAAATATGCTTTAGAATGCTTAGTTTAGGCAAATTGGATGAACGTGATCACGCATGTTGATCTGAAGAGTGTCGCTCTCGCTCACCGAAAACCACTGGTTCCAGGCTAAATGCGCTGTACTGCGTGCGTTGCGTGCGTCTGTTCCCTAGTGACAATAACAATCGCCTGATATTGCCTGTCCGTATTCCTCAAAGTTGTTTAGAATTAAATGTTTAGTGATGCTGTGACACAATGCCTATATTTGCCTTTTTTCATGCACCCCTCACGTTCATGCCGCAGCACCGAAATTAAGCACCGAAATTCATATGCTGATTTAATACCGATACATACCGGTTACCAAGGTAGCGGTGCAAAAAGGGCAACGGGTTTCGGTAACCAGCCCTAATACACACTGATCACGTCTACAGTTTATCTCCAGTTTGAATCCTCTGATGTGCTTTCAGGGTTCCTGAGTGAGCAAACCTCTTACTGCAGTGTGAACACTTGTACAGTTTCTCTCCAGTGTGAATCCTCTCATGTGTTTTCAGGGTTCCTGAGTGAGTAAACCTCTTACTGCAGTGTGAACACTTGTACGGTTTTTCTCCAGTGTGAATCCTCTGGTGCCGTTTCAATTCTGCAGCTGTAATAAAAGTCTTCTCACACTCCAAGCACATATGCTCTCTCACACCAGTGTGAATCTTCATGTGTTTTTTAAGGTATGATTGGCTCAAACTCTTCCCACACTGAGTGCATTTGAATGGTTTCTCTCTAGTGTGAATCATAAGGTGTTGATTAAGGTGTGATGAGTGGATGAAACTCTTCCCACACTGAGTGCATGTGAAAGGTTTCTCTCCAGTGTGGATCCTCATGTGTACATTAAGGCATGATGATTGGATGAAACTCTTCCCACACTCAGTGCAAGTGAATGGTTTTTCTCCGGTGTGGATCTTCATGTGTGTATAAAGCGATGATGATTTACTGAAACTGTTCCCACACTCAGTGCATGTGAATGGTTTCTCTCCAGTGTGGATCCTCATGTGTTGATTAAGGGATGATGATTGGCTGAAACTCTTCCTACACTCAGTGCAAGTGAATGGTTTTTCTCCAGTGTGGATCTTCATGTGTCTATAAAGCGACGATGATTTGCTAAAACTCTTCCCACACTGAGTGCAAGTAAATGGTCTCTCTCCAGTGTGGATCATCATGTGTTCATTAAGGTGTGATGAGCAGTTAAAACTCTTCCCACACTGAGTGCATCTGAATGGTTTCTCTCCAGTGTGGATCCTGATGTGTTGATTAAGGTGTGATGAGCAGTTAAAACTCTTCCCGCACTGAGTGCAAGTAAATGTTTTTTTACCGGTGTGGATCTTCTTGTGTCTATAAAGTGATGATTTGCTGAAACTCTTCCCATATTGATAGCATGTGAATGGTTTCTCTCCAGTGTGGATCCTCATGTGAGTCTTTAGTTTGCTTTTGCTTGCCAAACTCTTTCCACACTGAGTGCAGGTAAAACAACTCTTGTCTCTCACTTTTAACACACCATCAGTCTCTAAATGAGTTTTGTCCTCAATTTTGACATGATGTTCCTCTTTACTCTCATCGTAGTCTTTAATTAGGTCTGAAATAAAAATAAGTTTACTTTTTAGTAAATCATTAAAACTCTCAGTGAAAAGGCACTTTAAAAAATTCCCATTAGAACAACTTTAATTTATCACACCGGCTTCAAGTTCTCTAGCCACACCCAGACCTGATTACTACCACACACGTTCGCAATCAATAAATCATCTAAATAGGACCTGTCTGACAAAGTGAAGTAGACCAAAAGAGCTTCAAAAGCTAGACATCATGCCAAAATCTAAAGACCTTTAAACACAAATGAGAAAGAAAATACTTATGTCACTAGTTAAAAAAAAGAGTGAATGGCTTTTCCTACAGCTGGTGGAGGAGACGAGAGTACGGTTGGAGTTCACTGTAGTGCATACATTTGTTTTTACTGTAAAATCCTCACCGCATGCGCAGATTTAGGAGACATTTATGCAGAATGCATCTTTGCACCTAAAAGCGCCAAACGCAGCACTCAGGAACAGATTAAAACAGTTGTTATGTGAACTTGAAGTAAAAAAGCCTGCAATGCTTGCCCCGCCTTTGTGCTCTATTTATTGGCTCACTGCTCTACAACTGAATGCAAATGATTGGTTAATATCAGCTGTCAGTCACTCAGTCAATGCCTTCTGCCTTCAGATGACAGGAGCTACAGCTGCGAAAATGTGAGGCACTGAAGATGAGAGAATGAAAATAACAGACAGGTTTACCTTAAGTTATTAATAATGGCGCATCTTATAAGTAATCATGTTCTGAATGTTAATCCACCATTTACACCTTAACAAGAGTGGATAAAAGACTTCTAGTGGCTTTAAGTCCGCTGGTAACCGTGTTTGGCACTGAATCTACACATTTAAGCGCGAGAGGTATTGTATAATCCTTCATTTAATCCTCACGATGCTGTCAGCCTTGCAAGCAGCAGCTATATGTAACATTTAACACAGCTCATGAAAAGACTGTTATTGCTATTAAGATGACATGCAAATAATAAGTTATATATCAATATAAATGTGGGGCGGGGCGATGGATCGTGATGCAGGCCCAGCATTGTGAAGTTTGTCGGCCATCGGCAATGGCATTTAAAAAATTAATACAATTGATCAGCTACACTCAACATCATCTTCTGAAGAGCTTCTTAAAAAAATACTTATTCTGCAAGCGGAATGACTCATTGAGGATCTCCACATAAGATCACGCCAGATTCATTTTGAACATGGTGAATGAGCTGGCAGGTTATTGTGTTACCAACTGAAACAATCCTCAGCAGCTGGCGTTATAGTAGCAGTTAGTAAGGATGATGGCAGTATTATTACTGAACAACTGGGTATTAGTGATCAATTTAAAAACTTCTATAAAACTCTTTACAGCTCTGAGGTAAAGGAAATTGAACGTATTGAGAGCTTTTTTAATTATTAAGAATTACCATCCCTCTGTGATTTAGATCAGTTGACAAAAGAAGGAATTTTAACACCTTCTAAAATTAAAAATACAAAAAAAAAAAAAAAAATCAGAAAAGTACCAGGCCCTGATGGCGTGCCGGCTGAGTTTTATAAGAAGTTTTGTGCCAAGTTAACACCCCTGTTGTGCAAGGTATTTGCTAAAGCTCTTGTATCGGAATCACTCCCCCCTTCATGACATCGGCTGTTATAACAGTACTTCTTTAAAAGAGTAAGGATCCACTTAAATGTGAACCTTATCGTCCGATCAGCTCACTCTGCTGTATAAAATCCTGCCAAAAGTGCTGGCAATCAGAGTGGAGTCAGTCATGAGAAAGATAATTCACCCAGATCAAACTGGTTTTATTGTTGGGAGACAGTTTGAGCCCGGATCGACCATGGCTGCATATGCATTTATAATTCCGCTGTAATCTCTCGCTGTGTATTTTAAACATGGCGGGTCCGTTATTTAGATTCTGGCTTGTTGTGTCTACGAATGACGTATCTCTGTAAACCAATAGCGTTCAGCTGCGCGTCTAGCTCCGCCTTTTAGGGCCTACTCACACTATGCCATCCGTACCATGCCCAGGCCCCTTTCCCGGATCGTTTGAGAAGTGTGAGTGCGCTGAATCAGGCTCAAGCACGGTTCACCTGGCTGGCCCTGGCCCGGTTGGAAGAGGTGGGCCTGAGCGCGGTTCACTTGGGCTTTGGCGCGGTACGCTTGTGTGTGAGTACAAAACGCGCCAAAGCCCAAAACTGAAAGCAAGACGTGACTTTTAAGGGAGTGTTTCATATGGATTTATTAATCATTCTTACTTTTCAGTGAACGCAAACTGCCGTAGTTTATTACAGACGAGAACTCCTCACTGCACGACAGCTGCGCTCCTCCTCATTCCTGCAGCACGAGAGCTTTATGATTGTTTATGAGCTCCAAAAGTGGCGGATCTGTTCGGCGAAATATCTGACTGCGTGTCACCGCATCCCTAAGGACTGTCTGGCGAAATATTTGACTGCATGTCACTGCATAACTAACGACTGAAACGATATAACTAGAGAAATCTCCACTGTGCTGCTGAGAGAGCGCTTCTCACTGAACAGCGCAGCAGTAATGACGTAAGCGTGCCGAGGCCCGTTTGTGGTGTGAGTGCGGGCCGTCGGGGCAGACAGGATGGGGGACAAGCGTGCTTTGGCCCGGTTCGAGGCAACTTTACCTAGTGTGAGTACGGCCTTAGTGTTTGGGACCCTTTCAAAAGGGTGCCAAAAAAGTGGTACGGTATGGTTTGGTACGCCTTTTAAAGGGTCATGAAACACCAAAACACATTTTTTGAGCTGTTGACAGTCGTATATGTGTCCCACACTGCTAAAAACACTATTAGGACACCTATATTTCACTAAAAAGTGTAAATTGGTTGTTTTTGCGTTATTTCAAGCAAATTCGTACTTCCTGTTTGAAACGAATTTTTGAAGCTGCGTCACGGCCATGACATAATAGCGTTTTATTCCAGCGTGCAGACTGGGCGTCTGTGCCAGAGTGTGCCTTATTACGTCTTACAGTGTGTTGCATTAATGCACGAGTAAGGCTTGGTTCAAACCAATCAGCGCGCTCTATTGTGCAACTTCATTAATATTCAGTAGTGTCACCGTCTTTACAACACAGAGACGCCACGTTGTGTTGGCAAAACAAGCGTGAAGTGTTGCATTTACAGTTTGCTGCTGTTAAGTTTCGTTTTCATTTTCTCTCTGTGAGAGCTCATCTGGATCACGTGTGGATTACAGTGTACGCGACGCGCGACAACAATAACTTACGTGTCTAAGGGGGATTATTGTTTACCTGAGAGCTGTTCTCATCTGCAAACGCTGAAATCCGGATTCCGGATGTAGTCTTCTCTTCATAAAGACGCGGCTCTAGTTGCTGGTGATTGTCGTGTCTCTACAGATTTGGTAAGTGAGCGACCAGTGCTCTTTGTATATTCAGTTTGTTCGTATCAAATAAGTTAACTATTGCATTGAGTGCAAACATGTTAGCACCGCATTTTGTGACCGGAATAACACACGCGGCTTTCGGACGCTACCTGCCGTGTGCATCTAAGTTTCCGGGAATTGCTGAGTTTTTTTTCTGTCATTCGCCGCGCGGTCTCAAACATTGCATGAAAAATACACGCTTAGAGCAGATCCTCGAATCAAATATCTCGTTTGTCGCGAGGGGCATGAATTAATTCCCTGAATGAAAGAGCCAAACTGCAGTTAAAGTCCAACATTTAATAATTTGGCAAATAATTCGACTACAGATGTCCATGTAGGTTAAACACCATCCCTTTCTCCTGTGTATTTTGACTGAAACTCGCGCGTGCCCAAATAGACACTCCCACACCCTCCCACTTTAGTTCCTCCGACACTCCCCCCTAAACAGAGCTGGACACCCCCACTTTTCTGACTTTTTCCAAAGAAGAGGTGTGAAAACACCCTGCTGAAACGAGGGGGTTTCATGGCCCTTTAACAGTGGAAACGGCCATAAAAGCGTACCAAACCGAACCACTTAGTGGAAACGGTCCATAAGAGCTTGATTAACGTGGTAAACAATATAGAGACTTATAAATGAATGAATGTGCGAATATAAAACCAACTTTACCTCTATATGACTGAGTTGCTGTTTGAGAATGAAAACCAACCTGTTTGTTCCTGCGTATCTTCCTGTTTGACTGTGAATGTTTCTTCAATCTTCACATCTTCACTCTCCTCTTTAATAAACGCCATCTTTATAACAGTGTGGAGATCAGTCACTTCAGCAGTTTTTCTCTGCGTTTGGACACTTTATCCTGTTTAAAATGAACAAAACAATAAAAATGTCCTGTTTAAATAAGTAAAAAAAAAATTTACAGAAATAAAATAACTTCTCTTCAACACTTGCTTCAACAGTAACAAAAACGAAATCAGGTATGTCCAAGCATAGAGGTAAAGTTGGTTTTATATTCGCAAAATCAGACTTTTCTCTTAATAATATAACTTCATGAAAGTATTATTTGCAAACTCTAAACAGTGAAATCATATTAGCAGCCAATGACTATCAAAGTACAACATTGTTCTCAGTCAAATTAACAATGTTCACAATCCAATAAAGAATTTTGTTTAGTAGTCATACTTGCATGCTAATTCAAATCGAATATTCAAAGTAACATGGTGAACAATAGAGACTTATAAATGAACGAATGTGTGAATATAAAACCAACTTTACCTCTATAGTCAGAGCTATAAAGAATGGGCTGATGAAAACTAGTACTCCGTTTCTCATACATAGTGATGTATATTTAG